CTTTTTATTGTAATTTTGCACAGAGGCTAACAAAACGTCAACTTAGAAACTATTTACACAAGTTAACTACAAAAATGTACATAATTATAGATCAAAAATGGCTTGAGGCTACTAAGAGGCTTAATATTCATCAATGTCATAGATCCCAAGCTGACCCAAATATCTGTGAAGCTTTACCTTAAAATTGATTTCTCCTTTTCCCTTTTTCACGTAATCCGGCAGTTTTTCAAAAAATGTATGACCCTTCCGAAGATAGCTCCCCGGGAAGTTGCTGTTTACGGCATTCCGGGTGTTTTAAGAATGCTTAGAAGAGAGGCCATTGGTAGACTGTGAATAAGAGACATAGTGTTTCACTGCTTTTGCTATAATCATTGCCGGGAGTGTCAAAATGTTGTTATTAATGACATATGGCTTACACGAATCTGATTTACGCAACTTAAAAATGTACCGCACAGCTTTTTTTGGATTTTAAAGACTTTCTTTAACAATTTCTGGTTGCAGTTTGACCAAACCGATAAACAGTAGTTAATGTGAGAGACAACTAAGGCATGATAAACAGTTAGCAATAAATTAGAGTCACAGAATCTAGCTAACGATCTTAGAACAAATGTCGAGGAATTCAGCTTGGCACATAACTGATTAACATGATGACTAAAGTTTAGTTTCTCATCTATTAGAAGACCAAGGTATTTGATGACGAGCGTCCTATTGATTTCTGTCTCATCTACTAAGATGTTAAAACTGATACCTGGTTTCGGTTTTCGGTTGCATAAAAAAAAATTTGTTTTAACTCTGTTCATGCTCAACAAGTTAATTTCACACCATTGATTAAAGAGGTTAATTAGAATGTACGCGTCTACCTCTAAATTGTTCAGATTTTTATTGCTAAGGATTAAGAGCACATCATCAGCAAATAATAAGATCAAAAAAATGGATAACACAATTTTAAAAGCTTGTTTCTTAAGATAAGGGACAATGTTGTTAATAAATATCAAGAAAAGAAGAGGGCCTATTGCGGTGCCTTGACCGACCCCACCCAAGATATTTAATATTTTAGAGGTGTATTTTTTGCTCCGTTTAGATACCTGCACAAACTGACTTCTACCCACGAGATAACTACTCATAGATTTTATTGCAGTCTTACTGAAACCCAGGCGTTTTAATTTCATTTTTAGCAGCCTAATGCTCACCGAATCAAAGGCTTTTTTCAGGTCGATCGCAATGACCACACTGTAAAGATTTGAGGATTTTTGCAATGTTTCATGGCAGCATCTAACCGCGTCTTCAGTGCTAGTCTTTTTTCAGAACCCAAATTGGTGGGTGTATAGTATCTTGTTGATGTCTAAATATCTATTAATTTGATGGATCATAATTTGCTCGTATACTTTCGATATTGGTGATACCATAGCCAAGGGCCTGTAGTTGTTCATATCTTTAAGATCTCCACTCTTGAATAGGGGAACTATTCTGACAGTCTTGAGTGATTCTGGGAGCTTGTTATCTACAATAAATGAGTTTACTAGGTGGGTAAAAATAGGTGCAAGCTCTCTTTTAAATGTTTTTACAAAAAAGTTAGATAACCCATTTCGATCCTCGGATTTTTTATTTTTCAATTTATCAATAGCTCTAATTATGTTTTCTTGTGTAACCGGAGGAAAGTAAAAAATACTGTCACATTGAGGCATATGTACAAAATTGGAATCATTGATGGGTGCGTTGCTATCATTAGAGAAGACTGAGATAAAATGATTGTTGAAATGACATACAATTTTTTCCTGATCGGAGATCAAGGCGTTATTCACAAATATTGAGTCAGCGAATGGGATGCTCTTCTTTGAAGCCCTGTGGTCATTTACAATATTCCACAGAGCTTTGGAAGGATTGTCAGATTTATCAATGATGTTTTTAACGGCTGTAGACTTTGCTTGAAGAATGCGTCTTTTGTAACTAAATTTTTCTTCGCATAATGCTTTTTTAGTATCTAGGTATTTAGCTCTGTCAAAGTTTTCCGTCTTTCTGATACGATTTAGATTTAGACGCTGCAAGTTCACTTACTTTAGAGTAATGCTGCTTTTTGCAGTCTTTGCTAACCCCTCCAAGAGACTTGTTCTTAAATTTTTTAAACCGCAGAGGGAAGTAAAAATTGTGCGAGTCTACTATTTGCTTTATTAGATTATCTGCATCATCGAAGACTAGAGCATTTTTAATGTCTGTTAGTTTGGCTCTCATTAATCCTGTGGTGTATTCGTCGATAAGTCTGACAAACCTACCCTGAATTTCTTTTTCGCGCTCACCACCATCAACCGCCAACTTGAAGTCAATGGCTCGATGATCTGCTAGTGCATTCTCAACGACCCCTGAAGTATACTTTGCATCATGAAAATTACAGAACAAGTTATCGATCCTGGAAGCTGTAACTCTGGTATCTTCAAAAACAGTTGGAAAAAAATGACCAGTCCTGAGAATATTCAAAAATTCCAAGGTAAAATTATTTTCTATCTTGAGGTCAGTATTGAAGTCTCCCACCAATATGACACGATCCCCAATGGGTGAGATTTCAACAATTTCTCTGAGTTTAGAAAAAAAATCAGCAAGATTACCACTAGGTGACCGATAGATACAAAGCACAGTTAGTTTAGACTCACCAATCTGCAGGTTGACAGAACAGAATTCAATGCATTTTTCGACATAAACATTTTGAAAAGAACAATTTTTAACTGCTTGAATTTCTTTTTTAACGGCAATAAGGGTACCTCCTCCTTTATACATAACTCTTTGGGAGTAAGATACTATGGAATAGTTTTGGTGGAGTCTAAGCTGCTGGATATCGTTGTTTCTAAGCCCATGCTCAACGAGACAAACTACTTCAGGGTCTTCCTCTGAAAGAGAGTCTGAAAATAGCTCAACTTTCTCTTGGATATATTGGGCATTCTGATAAAAAATCGTCAAAATCTTGTTACCATCTGTCTTACTCTTAGAGCGGACTTCGTCTAAATCTACTCGTTTAAAGGTATCAATATTCTATTTCTAAATCGGTAACTTTTATGTGTAGATGATTTGTTGAGAAAGCGATTGCAGATTACATATATAATCGTTAGCAGTACCTATATTCGTTATTGTTGGATTGACAGTATTAAAATCTAGACCTCTGTTAATGCGTGATTGCACTGTTATAATAGATGTCATGATTGCATTTACAAACAACTTTTTCCCCCATCTATTAAGGTGTAATCCATGGTTAGTAAAATGGACTCTGTCAACTACTTTGTTCGGAAGTATTTTAACATTATTGGTATTTGAGGCTATCCTCCAAAACATATTGTTCATAGCACCTCCGAATCGCCAAAATTGATTATACATGTTTGGTGGTAGGTCGTATCTAGGTAGTACTTCATGAATAAAAATTTTTGGTTTTTTAACACGCTCAATTATGTCATTCAATTTATGATACCACCGGTTGCCATTCCATCTGCTATGAGAATTAAAGTTGTTTGAACCACCAATGAAAACTACAATATCTTCCTCAGTGAAATTTTTAGTTAGATCTTCTAGATTTTCAATTACATGTTCGATCATTGCATTTGGTTTGAAAATAGATATTATATTAAAATTGCTATTACTACCTAAAATATCTTTGAAAATAAAAGATAAACCTCGACCATGTGAAGCACTGAGTAATAATAAGTTTCTTTTTGTACTATTTTGTAGGGCATCTGGAATAAAAGAGTGATTAATCTTCTCTCTCAAAATTTCAGCTGATAGACTGGCAGGATTATTTTTTGGCCTTGTATTGGTATTAGTTTTTGATAGTAGGATGTCATCAGTGTTTTCATGTGACAATAGCTGATCTGTTAGTTTCTTATTGTCCCTAATTAGTTTTTGGATTTTT